GCAGCCAGAGCACACAGTTTGTAGTGCCTGCTTCTCAACTGCTAGGCCTGAGCACAGCAAAAGCATTTGCTTCAGTGACTTTGATATGATTTGAATGTATTTTCTTTGAATGTAATTTAGATAATGTAAGGATATTTTTCCTTTCACTGTTATAGTTTAAAAGACAGGGATAAACCCTTTCCACTTGGGCTTCCACACTGTCATCTTCTGATGACCGTGACATTTCCCTGACATCATTTGTTTGTCTGGGCCAGTTGTGAAAATATATTTAGTTTCTGCTTGTGCTATGAGCTGTAACAACTGACTAGATGCAAGCCAACTTAAGACCAGATGTGAAGCTGCCTTGCCTTGAGGCCTGTGTTAATATCAGGTGAATCTCAGCCATATCTGATCTGTCCAAATACCTTCTGGATTACACTGACTTTTGTTGTCTTTCCAAGGTACAGGTGAAGAAAAGGTGAACTTAGCACTGTTTGTAGCTTTCTCTATATGTGTCATGGGTCACACATGTTTAAACTCAGGAAAACAAAGCTCATCTGCAATCCAAAGTGGTTTTTTTTCTCTTCAAATATTCCCTCCTAGTTAATTTTTCTTCCCTATAACTGGTAAAATTGGACAGTAAAACTGTTGTTTCAGAACAACCTAGCTTCCTCCAAACTTCTGGTAAAAATGCTCACTTGTAATAGTAAGAACTTTTCAACTCTGTTTAGCACATGAGTTTTAAAGGAGTCTGTTTTATACAACAGTGATAGCAGGTCCTTAAATTTATTTATGTATGCACTTAAAACAAGCTCTGCAATGCTTCTGTGTACTTACCAAACAGGCTACAAACAACCCAGTAAATGTTTGAACAATCAATTCTTGGGAAAGTATTACGTAATAAATCCTGTGAAAACTCCGAATTATTGTCAGTATGTAAATACAAAACAGGGCTGTAATCTGAATACTCTGTAACAGAACTCTTTTGTTACAATGCCTGAAAATGTGCATTACTGTAAATTTGCCTCTTCCATTAGCTACCTGTACAGTAAGATAGTAATAATAGTAATACTAATTTTTCTATAGGTTTTTTTTAATTGTTTCTAAATTACTCCTTTCCAGGCCTTTTCTTGATATGGTCTATAATGCACTGGACTGTCCTGAAGATGATTACTATGCCCTCTTTGTGCTCTGTCTTTTATATGCAATGTCACACAACAAAGGCAAGTGCTATTATGTAGAGTTAACTGCAAGGCCAGGGTTGAAAGAAAATGTAAACCTCAACAGAGTCATCTTCTCATTTATGGGGTTGTTTATTGCTGTTCTTCAGAACTAGTCAAAGAGGTCCCCATAATCCATAGTTGTGTATTGTTCTAAGAGGTCTCATAGCAAACCAGTCTTTTCTGAGAAATAACTGATATTTTAGAGGAATATGTTAAAGAAAAATGGGATTTGTTTCCTTCTGTACCAAATCAGTGAACATTTTATTTGTGTTGGGGAGGATACCGAGTAGGGCTACTACAAAGTAAAATTCCAGTTTCCTTTAAACATGTATGTACATATTAGTTAACTACCAAAGCAGAATTTAAAATCAGACTTTGATCTTCTCCTTTTTATCCATTATGTTCTCCAGATGAAATGGCCTGACTTTGATTTAGATGCAAACAAATAATCTGAGAATTTCAGAATCAGCAAAATCATTTGCATTTCACCAATCGCTTTGGGATTTGAGTGTCTTCACCCAATTAGGCCCCATTTAAGGCTGAGACTTTTCAAGGATTCATCAATGTGTTTGGTCATTGTTGTTCTTTCTTTTCCTTGTAATGCAAAGTCAAAGCTATCTTGCCTAGTTTCCTATTGCTAATTGTTTTCTTCTGAGAAAACTGTTGTGGTCTATTGAATGTTTGCCTCAGAGCACACTCCTGTTTGCTAATTTCCTATTTTTTCCTTCACCTCCATGAAAGGACTTGACTCAGTCAAGCTGGAGAGAATTCAACTTCCAGCTCAGCATGCTGCTGAAGAGAGAAATTCTTATAATCATGTTCTTGCAGAAGGGCTCATCAGGATAATGAATTATGCTGCACAACCAGGTATTGCTTTTCCAGATTTTTGACGATGGAAAAAGGCTACTTAGCCTCTTGTCTTTGAGGGGAAGGTGACTGTTCAGCATGTTATTTGATGAGCAGTATGTAGACATGGTTTGTGAAAGACAGCTGTTGGCTTTTCCTGAGGAACCAGAAACTCTGGATTTGTGCTGAGCAGTTGTTTTTATACTCAGAACTCTTGAAGTATCTATTGTCTTAATTCCTACTTTCTGCACTTTTGAATAAACAAAAAACTGAGATTTTTGAGGGGTTTCACCTTAATGAATTTCATCTTGAAAATATGATCTGTCTCACCTTTGCTTGTAGAAATAATTCCAGTGGAGAAATAGTCTTGAAAACTATGGTGTCCTTTGCTCATAGCAGTCCTTTGTCTGTCTACCTCTAGGTGGTAGCAAATTTTCCCATACTTTTTTTTATCTCAGATTGTGTTTTCAGTTCTGGACTGTTTTCAGAAAATGTGGTGTTTTTTCTTCCTTTTTTTTTTTTTTTTTTTTGTGAATTGAAGGTTACAATATTCCCTGAAAATATGGTTTCTGTTCAAGCCACACCTCTCTTCCTCGCACTTCCCCCTTTAAACTTTACATGAGTAGAACTGGCTTTTCCCAGAGACTGACACACTATCAAATTTTTGAATGTCTGTAGAATGAAAATCTGTTTGTTTGACTTGCAAAACTGATCTACAGCATATTAACTTGTGCTGGTGTGTCAGAGATGAAAAACATGTTTATATATGAAGCGTTTGTACCTACAGCAGCAGGAAGGAGTGCAAATGAGGATATGTATTTATTTAAATAAAGGCATGTCTGAGGGGCAGGTGCTGGGGAAGGATGGAAATGGGGGATTTTTTATTCAACTTGCTTCATGCTTTGTAGAACATCTCCTTTTTTCTCTTCAAGGAAAAGCTATGCCTTATTAATGTGCTAGGTACAAAGCTTCCTTTCACCTTGTAACTTCATCCATTGCAAATGTCTGGGATCCTCTTGTAATTTTAGTGTAATTGAGCCTGTGCTGCAGATTGATAAAGGCAGCAAAATCCAATGTTTGGGCTTACTGTTCAATAGTATTAATCTTTGCCTTCTTATTGAATGGTTCTGCTTTAAATTTTATTCTGCTTTAAATTACTCTTCCAGTTGTTTTTCTTTATAGCCAGCAGCATTGTAAGGCAGCATCAATACTCGTTCCTGTCAGATGGGGATGTGACAGAGGAGCAAAGTTTGACAATTGCAGGAAGAATACAAACATTTAAGAACGTGGGATGATGAGAAGAGCTGTAACTAAACTGCTACTATTTTGTATGTTGAAATTTTCACAGATGGAAAAATTCGTTTGGCAACTTTAGAACTTGGCTGCCTATTGCTGAAGCAGCTTGTGTTTTCCAAAAATGGCAGGATCATAAAAAGTGTTCACCTTGATTGTCTTGAGGTGAGTATTTTATTTCAAATTGCCAGTCACTGCATTACTGGTGTCTGAGTCTTGTTAGTATAGTTGAATAAATTTGTTTCATTTCTGATTGCAATAAATCTTAATGTGAAAGTTGAACTTGTAGAACATCTTAGCATTGGTAGCTCTGTGCTGTGAACATCATAACCTATGTTCTGTTCTTATCTCTGCTATTTTAACTTGTGACTTCTCCAGCAGTTTTTTTGTTGCATTGTCTCTCTGAAACTGGTATGTTGTCCATCTCAATAACATAAAGAAAAGTGCTTTTGAAATAATAAATAATAAGCTCGCATAAGTTGCATTTTCTTAGGTGTAAGAACTGTATTCTATCAAATTCTGGGATTAAGGCCATGAATCAGGATATTAGTAGACAGTTTCTTCTGTGTGAGTGTTTGGGTGGGTTTTTTAATGCAACTAATAAGTGGTGTGTGTATTCCCTGAAATGCATTTTCTCTTTCCTAGGGGGCAAGGGAGGAAAGTGTTCATCTTCTTCGTCGTTTCTATAAGGTAAATATGCAAAATTCTGTAAGAAAAAGGTCCTTTACATATGGGGAATGTCTGCAGCCCAGTCTTTACATAGTGACAAAGAAGCACCTTTTTTAAGATGGGAAGTTCAAATTTGGGAGAGAGGAAGTGTTTTCTTGGAGAATTCCTCTCCTTTCTGCCCTTCCCATACCACCATGACATATGCTACAAAGGGCTGTTGAAAGACTCCCAGGGTTTGTACTGGAGATCAAGTGTCATTGACACTAATATGGGATATGTTTGGTTTTGACATTACTTTTTGTTTGTATCATATCTGAAATGATGATCTAAAGTTTTACGTAAATTTTTTTCTTACTGGAAACCTTCACGGCTTTTTACTTTTGTGTGTGTGTTGTAAACAATGAAATTCCATTTTTTAGCCCTAGCCATTAATTTCTATATAAGGAGCAATAAATCCGTGACAGATTTCAAGTGTCTGAAATATCTTCCTGCTATTCTTAGAATTCTCTTGAAGGATGTTTGCTCAATGTGGCTTACAAAAAAATAAGTAGCTTGTGGTGGGTTGACCTTGGCTGGCTGCTAGAGGTCCACTCAGCTGTTTTCTCACTGCCCTTCCTCAACAGGATGGAGGGAGAATAGAATATCTTGTCAAGATAAATAACAGGGAGATCACTTGCCAATTACAGTCATGGGCAAAACAGACTCAACTTCACAGAAATTAATGCATTGCAAAAAAAAATTTAGATAGTGAGAAACAAAGACAAACACCACTGTCCCCTACCTCTCCCTTTTCCCACGCTCAGCTTCATTCTTGGCTCTTCAACCTTCTTGCCCTGAGAGTGGTGCAGGGGCAGTGGGAAGTAGGGATTTGGTGTCAGTCCACAACAACTTCTTTCTGTTGCTTGTCCCTCCTCACAGTTTCCCCTGCCTCAGTGTGGGTCCCCTCCTCCATGGACTATAGTCCTTCAGGAGAGCAGTTGCTTCAGTGTGGGTCCTGCAGACTGCAGCTCCTTCAGAGCCCCTCTCCCTGCTGTATTGTTGGTACCTGCTCCACCATGGTCCTCCAGGGGCTGCAGGGGAGTCTCTCCCTTTCCTAAATGTGTTTTCCCAAAGGTGCCAGCAGTGCTGCTGAAGGGCTCAGCAGTGCCCTGCAGCCCCAGCCTCCCTTCACAGACACACTGTACAGAACCAAACCTAAGAGAGCCCCAAACAGCCAGGCTTCATGGCACGTCCATATTCTTTCTTTTGCAAGGGAGAAGAAATCTTTCTGGATATGTTTGAAGATGAATACCGGAGTATGACAGTAAGTGAGACCCCTTCTGCCCTGGTAAATCCTCAAACCCAGATACAGCACAGGAACAAGAAAAAGTACTGACAGCTGCTGAGGACATTGGAGTCCTTATTGCTGGGAGTAGGGTAACAAAATGTGGGTGGTGTATTTGTCTGAGAAAATCTGTCTATACTTACACAAAATATTTTATGTGACACTTCACAGCTCTTTATTTAATAAACTTTCATTGCTTTCTAAAATTGAGTATACAAAAATTGCTTCAACCTACTAAATGGGACACTGGATTTATTTTTTTTCCCTTAACAACGTGAAAATCTTCCTATACCTATCTGAAGCTCTGCAGGCTCTCAGTTTTGAGAAAGTTCTTTTTGGAGAGAAAAAGTTATAAGAAACTTCCTTGTGATTGAAGGAACCACAAATTTAAGTCAAAACTTAAAATCCAATCTGGCAGAATTTGGTTTTTAGTATTTGAGGAATATCTTTTCTGTAATCTTTTGGAGTTTGTCCTGTGCTTTATTTGGATGAAAACGTTGGCAGTGTGTCTTGAGAACAATGAGATATTGTAGTAAATGAGAAATTGCATGTAAGGACCTTAAATAAGACATGGTATTAAAAATTCTCAGAATTTTAGAATACGTGACAGTGAGTTGTATTTGAAACTGAAGAGGTAAATGCTTATTGTTCTGTATAGTTACCAGTGCTAAAATATTTTTATAGATGAAACCTATGAATGTAGAATACTTGATGATGGATGCCTCCATCTTGCTACCCCCAACGGGGACACCACTGACTGGGATTGATTTTGTGAAAAGGTTGCCTTGTGGAGATGTGGAAAGAACACGAAGAGTGAGTAAGACTATTTTTCTTACATTTGCTCATGACAAAATGATGCCAAAATCATTGAGCAGTTCTAGGAATACAAATACTTTTCTTTGAAAACTGCTTGATTGGAAGCTTCATCCATTAAATCATAAAATCTTGATGAAGACAGATCTGTGTGGAGTGTATATATAATAACCTGCCCCAGGGGAGAAATTTCTTCTCTGATTTCTTGTGTCTAGTCAACACAACATGTTCTTGCACTGGGGTTTAAATTTTTCAGACCATGCAGAAAGCTATGTACAAAGGCATTTTGATGACAATCAATGTATTGTCAGCTTCTTTTGTGATCTGTCTCAGTCTGTCTCTCAATTATATTCCTCTAGTAAGAATCTCCATGGAAGACTGACTGGCTTTGTATTGCTCATATTTCTAGACATGGCAAAAAATTTAGTTTAACCTGAGAGTTCATCTTGCCAAGGTAATTTGTGGTAGAGATTTGAGAATGGGGAGAGAACCAGCAAAGTATCTATTCTTGTGACACAATCTGTAGAGGTGATACTGACGTGAAGGACAGCATCCTGATTTCCATTCTTGGTTAATCAGTTCTTGGCCCTTATCTGGCTGTGTCCTGGAAGCCTTGCAGTGTCAGTAAGTCTAAGAGATATGTTACTGCACAAAATCATTATTTGGAAGGTGCTGTCCTGAGTTTCTTTGCATTTATATGTGTATTGTGTAAGTGTATGCAAGTGCTCTTGAAGAAAAAAACAACGTATTTCTAGGAATCTTCTGAAAAGGTTTATTTTCATTGCTTAGAAGCCACACAGTTTTTCTTATCACAGCAAGTTTTTGATAGAATACAGTGAATTATTTTGAAAAGTATTATTCTTAGAAAGCAGAAATGCCTCCTAGAATTCTCTCTGAGGCATTTAACGGAAGGATACTTAGAAATGCACATTAGTGGGAAAAGACTCTTCCTTATTTAGCACATGAAAATCCTGGAATAGCTTAATTTCTGTTGGTGGAAATAAAGAAATCAATAGAAATATTCCTGTAGATCTTTTGGGATGAACGAGTCTCTACCATCAGCAAGAATTCCCAGAATGATTCCTTGCTGGCACTCCTTCCCCAGTCCCATTGCACTCAGGTTTTAGAATCTTCTCAGTTCCTGTGCTGCTTCCTTCCAGCCAGGCTGCCTTGCCCCAGCTGAGCTGCCATGAGGAAACGCTGGACTCAGGTGTGCCTTGTGCCACTGCTGCTGCCACTCAGCCTGCTGAGGTTCTAATGATGGTTTCAAATGGAAGCAGAATGGATTCTGAGCATGCTCTGACACGATTCAAAAACGTTCTGAAGTTTTATTTCACTAGCAAGTGAACTTTGATTATATTGTGAGTTCTTAACAGTTAGGATCTTACTTCCTTGCTATAGGATGTTCCTTTAAATGGCAGCTCTTCTCCTCTAACAACTTTAGAAGAAGCTCTCAAAAATCTCACTTTGTAAGAAGTTTTTGAAGTACTAGGAGCACTTTTTATGGGAATATAATAGGATAGTGGTAGGTTTCCTTGCAAATTGGTGGTTTTTTGCACATGGAACACATATATAAATGAGCAAATCAGCATCATAATGCATAATTCTTTAATGCAGGTAGAAATCCATATTTGTTCAGAGTTAACCAGAAAAGCAAAAGTCAGCTGAAAAAATTCTAGCCACAGAACTTTTCTATTGTGTTGAGATCTGATAAAATGTGTTAGGCACAATATATTGTTATTGGTAACAAACTGAGGGGCTGTCAGTGTTGTAGGAAGCACAGCATGGTTCCCATGTTGTCTGATGTTCATGTTAATTTTATTTTTTTGGCAAAGGCTAAAAGTCTAATTTTATTTTCTACTCCTGTACTTTGTTCTGCACTAAATGTGATTATATGTTAGGAGATGAGTGCCATTAGTTTTATGGGAAATGAATGTGATAAAAATTACTGCAGTCTAGGAGGAAGAGGTTTGAGGGGGAAGATAAGTGAAAGCTGAGTGATAGTTGCCCTCCAAATAAAAAAAAAAAAAAAGAAAAATTCAAACAAAAACCTTGTTGGGTTTAACTTTTGGTTTACCAAAAATACCAAGATTTTTCTGTTTTTGATTGCATTTGGCAGATTTTAAACCAGATACTGTGAATTTTTCTTGAAGCACCTGGTAGGAAATCTGCTTTATAGTAATCCTGTGTTATTTCAGTAAATCCACAATATGTTCGAATGCAGTCTGCCTGAATCATCTCATGTTCTAAAGTGACTGTGTTCTCATGAATTAAATAGTATTATTGTCATATTTAGTTAGCTGCCCTTGATGTCCTTCGCTCACATAATCATATTGCCCTGTTAAATTTGAACAGCATACCAAAGCCATTGCTTTAGGGTAATTTCATGGAAGAACCTGATATGTGGCTTCCCTCTCTTCATCCCTGTTCTGCCAGAAATTTCTGGAAGCACTGCCAGGAGCGAGCTGGCTAAACACTCACAGCGTTTGCTGTGAGTCTCCCTCTGCTTCACAGGAGCCACTGTTCTGTTGATTTTAAAAATAGAGGACTGAAGGGTTTTCCCTTACAGCACTTTAGATTTGTTTTTCCTAATACTTCCTGCAGTCTGGGAGTTTCTGGGCATTGCAGCTGTTCATGAATTCAATGCTGTTACTGTAAGGCAGCAGTTAATTTACTGTATGCCACAGAATTACTGTGTAGGAAACTCTTAAAAAGCAGAACACCGGAAGTAATAAAAAATGATTTTTCATTAGCTATGCTGAAAATGCAGTTCTTGTAGGGAAAGAGGGTTATAAATGGTACCTTTCAAAATGTGGCTAACAAAATGATTGTTCTTTGACACTTTGAGTCTTTGCATACCATATGTCATGAATTCGTAAATCAAAACTAGCATATTCATTTCACAGAGCAGCTGTTGAAAGTTTCTTGGGACTGTTACAGCTTTCAGAATGCTTTGTCCTGATGAAGACCTTCTGAGAATATAAATTAAGTTCTCCAAGAATGTTACATTACATTTGGCTAGTCCTGGTGAGCACAGCAGATTAAAATACAGAAATCCCCACTGTTTCTCTGTTAACTTGTAGATAACTTAGCTAGACTTAGTCAGAAAAGTTATTACTGTTTTAAATTCAAAATATGAGAGTCCCTGAAGGTTGGTTGTGTAGGTGTCTGTAGCATAGAAGTACTGTAAATAAAATCAGTCTCAAAATAGCTAATGCAAAATATTCCAAGAGTATTGTTTTGCTTAAGCAGCTCCTGTAATTGTTTCCCTATCAGTCACAATCTGTGTAAATGTGCCAGTGAGACAAAAGCTCTGCTGCTTCTACTTCACTGAAAATAAAAAGCGTGTTTCAGCTTCTTTCATGTCTTTTTTTTTTTAACTAAGTCGGAAGTTACATTCTACTTTTTCAATTTAAAATATATTAAAATATTTATTTCAATTTTAATTTACTAAAAAGATTTACTGTAGGACAGCAAACTTGGGGGTTGTGAAAGCCAGTATATGTTTGTCAGACTCTGTTAAAATATGTAGTATTGGGTGTAAAAATATTCTAATATTCTTTTCTTTAATTTTTCAAGGCAATCAGGGTTTTCTTTATGCTCCGTTCACTGTCACTGGACTTGCAAGGTGAGCTGGAAACTCAGTTACCACTCACGAGGGAGGGAGATCTGATAAAGGCAGATGATGTTCTGGATTTGAGTAAGTAGCCCCTCAATTTCCTAAGTAGTCTGACATGAAAAAATTACTGAGCTTTTTTTTTTTTCTTCTAAACTGCTAATGACTGCTGTTCTTACTTAAACTGAATTGAATTGAATTAGTATGGTGTTGAAGTTCTACTGTGTGTTGTAGCATAAAAATGTATTTTCCAGTTTGAGTCATTTACCAAACAAGAGAGACAGAAGATGATCAGCATTTTGGTATAAAGCACATAGGATGCACATCACTGCATAGGTGCCATACCTTGGGAGGAGACTTTGCAGTGGGCAAAGCATGACCCAAAAAATTACATTTATGTGCCTTTTTTAATTACCACGTTGGGGGTGTTATTGTTTTAACAAATTTTCCTCAATCTCCATTAGTATAAGGCTTTTAAAATTCTTGGGAGCATTAAGATGCCTTCAATGTTTATGCCTGTGTGTGTACATTTAGTGTCAAGAGGGGGTAGAGGTTAACATGATCCAATAATGGCTTCAGCTGCTGCTTTGATTTGGAAAAGTCCCACAAAACTGTATCAAAAAGACTTTTTTCCTTTTGCCTGAATGCAATGATGGTGTTTTATGTGAACTTGATGAGGGAGATTCAAGTTTCTTGTAAAGAAGCATTTTTAATATTTGGATGCACATATGTTGAATGGAAACCTTTAGGTGTAGTTACAAGGTTGTCACCAGTACATGTGAATTTATGAATAGAGTCAGGTAATTCCACAGAAGGGCCATTCCATACTGCTGGATATGCTGTCACCAGAACTACAACTACTGTTACTTTGCAGTGTTTTTCTACTGTAAATAGTTTTGAAGCAATTGCATATTATGTGATAACTGTCTGCCTTAGACTGCCTGTGAGGCTGGAGATGTTTTCAGTCTTGTTTAGCAGCTCACTGTGTGAAGTCACTTGCAGCTCAAATTAACAGCCTTAGTGCTTGGTTTCAGGTGGTGACTAGATTCTGTTAGTGAATGCCATGGCCAAGAGGCAAATGAGGGCACATTTAAAGCTGTTATTTCTTTGCTGAAACAGAAGAAAGTAGCATTATAGTTAAGTTTCTTTGCTGACTCTGTCTGCCAAGTAGACAGGCTTTAAAAGGCCATCACAAGAAACATTTTTTTTAAAAGGTTTGAGAAAAGTTTATGGTGGAATAATTGAGGTTGGAAGAAGCTTCGGAAGATCATCTAGTCTAATTCTCCTGTTCAAACCAGGGTCAGCTAGAAAAATTGTTGTCATATTTGTGACAAAGAGAGTAACCCAAAAGGTGGTGCAGGTGTATGATCAGGGACACATCTTCTAACTTCAACTAAATGTACTTCATGGGAACAAGGTGGATCCATGATTGGTTAGTAAAGCAGAATATCATCCCAGATGGGCTGCCTGCTGTTGGGAAGAGTTCTTTCTGTGAAGTGGGAGGTGCTGCATTCACTATCTCCAGTGTAATGCTTATCTTGGGCTGCCAGCTGTGCATACAAAGGGCTAAAAGTTTTCTGTAAGAGCTTTTAATGTCTGCAGATCATTTCTGGAATTGGGATGACTGGAAATTATAAAATCATTAAAGATCAAGCCCCAAGGCAGATCAGGTGCATTTAGACCATCTCAAGTAGCTGTTATAGTCATAAAGATTTCTTACAATACAATCTTTTCAGGCAAATATTTTCATGAACACAGGCAACTATTCTCAATTTATATTTTCACCACTGCAAGCAGCTGAAGTCTATGAACTCTTCGTATTGGCTGTATTTCCTAAAACTTGGATTTTCCTTGGAGAAAGCCCACAGAAATCTTGGATCCATGTAAAGGAGGTGTAATGTCCAAACTGGTTACAAGCTTCATTCTGCATGAGGAGAAGTTAGCCATTGCAGTTAATCTTGGAAGGGGCACTTCAGTTCTTTGCAGCAGTGTCACACCAGGAAGCCATTCAGTGCTTCACTGTAATCCCCATACCGAATTTGAATAGTACTGAAGTTTACTGGGTTTGATATTTTCATCTGAATGTGGTTGGGTACCTCTAGCTGTTTCACAGCATAGCTGTATTCTTAGATCAGTTCACTGAAAATGTGTTTAACCACACTTTCTCTTCTGTTTTTGTCATCAAGGATGACAGTTTGACTCTTCAGCAGCTGTGAACTAGAAACAGTCATGTAAATGGACTACATTCAGTTGTATAGGCTCAAAGGATTCCTGTAACAGTTGCCTAGTAAATGAGTAACTTTCCTTTCTGTTCTTTGAAAGACTTTTATAGTAATGCTTTACTTCAAGGTGTTGGCAGGTCTAAAATAAAAACCTTCTATTCTGGAAAGCATTCTGCCCTTTGAGTTCTTGAAGTAGTGCATTTTTGTAGTTGGGCAGTTGAATTTATACAGCAAGTATTTTAATTTGCTTGCTGTTGCACTAAAAAATTTGCAAATACTGGTCAAAAACTAGTATTTGAGAACTCCCCAAGTCTATATGGTATTGTGGCCTGTTAGTTTATCTCCCAAAAGACTTGAAAGTCATAAGCCTGACATACTGTGTTTAGAAGAGTCCTAATCCAAGCACTTTGTGTCTTGAGAAGAATGGGACTGCTCCAGGAATTCAAGTCAACTGAAATAAATATGCTGATGCACTAATTTGGTTAAAGAATAAAAGAGGCAAGAAATAAAGCATATCAAAATAAGAAATACCCAGTTCTGCCTGGTGTCTCAGGTCCTTCTCTAAACAGGAATAAATCTTCCACAGGTTCTATAGTAATATTTGCCAATCCTGTATGGATTTCTTGAGCCTTCCAGGGCTATGAGAAGGTAATAGCAATCAATCCTCATGTTAACTGAATCATGTCCTGTATGTATTGCATTTATTGATTAAACTTGTTTTCTCAAATTTCAAAAGCTCACAGTAGATTCACACTGGTTAGCATTAATTATCCTCTTAATTGTGTTAGGGTTCTATATCTCATGCCTTTCTTTCCTACCACCCAATCTATTTTGAATGGATCCTGCTGGTAAAGGGTAATTGGTAGCTTCATAGAAATGTTAGTTGGAAAAGTCTGCTCACTTGTGTTGTGGGGATTTTTTTGTGGGGAAGAGGAAGTTGGTTTGGTTTTTGAAGCTTGAAAACCTTTGGTGATGTAAATTCCACATCTCTGGGTAACCTGCTGCACAAAAGAATTTCTTCCACCTCCTGACCGTAATTTATGGCTGTTGTCTGACCTGATGCTATGAAGAGCTGTACACCCACTTGTAGCTTATCCTGCAAATGTTTCTAGTATGAAAAATTATGTTAAATGCTCCTTTAGATGTTTGCATGAGTAAAAAAGTTCTACTGTTTTGTATAGCCTTCAGAATATTTTACTTGCTATAAGTTGTACTAGATGAGGGAGAGGAAAAGACCTGTGTGCATCAAATATATGAATGAAAGTATCCAATGTGAAGCAAAGGAAAAAGCAACTCAGTAGGGTTAGCAGAGCTCTGCTAGGAGTTGGCACTGCTGGTTTAAGGAGTGCTTGGTAGATTTCAGCTGGTGATAAGAGGGTGATTTAGTCCCTTTTCATGAATGATGAGTTTGAACTGGAACGGGGCAGTGAGGAAATCCAGAAGAATGTGTTCTGACGTTTGTTGGAGGGGTTTCTGGAGTAAGAGAGGATATGTTTTTTCAATATAAGTGAATGGAATATATGGATAAAGGAAAAAATGTCACCACATTTAATAAACATTGTCAAAATGCAGCTGCAATTTACCTGGAGAATCCAAATAATCTTGAGATTGAAGCCTGTCCAAGAGCCAGGATAGGTTTCAGACCGGTACAAAAGTAGCTTGTGTCAGGAGCCAAAGTTTATAAAGAGGTAGAAGTAATGGCCTGCAGTGGTGTTGGGTCTGGCTGTGGTTGTTAACAAGACTTCTTGAGACTTCCACTTAGTGAGAGAAATCAGAACTGTTGCAATTTTACCCGTGAGATGAAGGGAGCTTTTTTCAGAAAGGTAATGAAGATGGTAAGAGAAAGCAAGGTGCATATAGTACCCATCTTATATTTAACTTGTAAGATGTCTGAACCACTGTTGTTAAAATCTCTCTTGCCCTTTCTATGTAAGTATGATAGGGAAATTAAAATATCTGTTAAAAATGTGAACAAAAGTTTTAATATGTGTTGTCAATGTTATTACATTTTTTTATATGTTAACATTTTCTGTTATGTAAAATACCCACACCCCAGAATCCTCAGCTTCACTGTTACATAACCTTTTCCCTTCCTTCCTTTAGATAACAGTGATCTGATTGCTTGTACAGTCATAACAAAGGATGGGGGTCAAGTTCAAAGATTTCTGGCTGTGGATATTTACCAGATGAGTTTGGTTGAACCGGATGTTGCCAGACTTGGATGGGGAGTAGTTAAGTTTGCAGGCCTTCTGCAGGTAAGGGAATTGGCAGTTTGGGTGGCCAGCTTTTCTGAGCTGAAAATCTACGTATCCTGTTGGATAAATAGTAAAACCAATATTAGCTTATATATTTAAGCTCTGTACCATGCTTGCTTCTTTCTTTGATCACTAGTCTTTTTTCTGCTTCTTGCTTCTTAAAACATTTCTAATTTTCTGAAGAAGTTTATGTAGGTAACCAGAGTCACAGCTGCAGAATGGCATAACGTCCTTAACATCCATTGGGCTCTGCTCATTTGAACACTGAAGTCGCACCCTGTTAGGATTGTGTTCCAGGCACTTTATTCAAGTAGCCCATTAATGAACTCAGAGTTCTGATTTTCCTACACTGATAGAGAAGGTGACAGGATGTAATTTTGAAATGATCTGTGCTTATCTAAGGAAGTTTTTCTCATTTGTCTTTTTCTTGCCTTAACCATCGCTGTTTGTATTTCCTCAAATAATGTAACTCAATCTCTGAGTACTGATTTCTGAAGAAGTAAATCCTAGTTGTACAACTTGCAGAGTCTGGTTTTATTTTGTTGGGTTTTTTAACACTGAAAATGTCTTTGTAAGAGCTTTAATAGAAAATTCATAGTATTTTCTTTCAATGTTAATATTTAACCTGTAGTTAAGAAAAACTTACTTTTTCTTTTTAACTACTTGCCTCCTGCTTGTCTTTAGGATATGCAGGTGACTGGAGTAGAGGATGACAGCAGAGCCCTGAACATAATAATTCACAAGCCTGCCTCAAGTCCTCATTCGAAGCCCTTCCCCATCCTGCAGGCCACGTTTATTTTTGCGGATCACATTCGCTGCATCATCGCCAAGCAGCGCCTGGCCAAGGGCCGCATCCAGGCTCGGCGCACCAAAATGCAGAGAATAGCAGGTGACTGAATCACCTCAGGTTGTCCTGAAATAATTCTGCCAGACAAGGCTTGGCTGGCATTGCAAGTCACTCTGTAATGTAAGGCTGAGGCACAATGGGGAGTGCTGGGCCACAGAAAGCTCTAAACCAGGGCTGAGTTTCCAAGGAATAGATTTGGTTTCATATTTAACTTTGTGTTTATAAAGTGGATATGTCACACTTTTATGGCTTTCTTCATATACAAAGATTTAAAGCAAGTTTGAAGATACTACAGTCTATTTGATATTAAAAATTTTAGGTTGAATGTAATGCAAAGGCATTTTTTTCATTTTTAAAGCAGATTGTCTCTTTAAATTACTTTCTGCAGTGTTCAGTTGTAACTAATGAATTACTTCATTTGTGCAGGGAGAAACAAAAGGGGTTTTTTATTGTTAATAACTCCTATGGTTTTTTAGTGCAAATGGCTTCCTGTAATCCTGGGTGGTTTTTTTTCTTCTCCACTGTATTTTGAGGTTTCCCTAGTGTGAATGTGGTGTGGACAGCAATGTAGAAAAGGTTGCCAGAAGCATTCACTCTTTAGTTTGTCAATGCATTTGTAACTATAATTAAGAGGCAAATGAAGGCGAGTTATGTTAAAATCTGGTTTAGTCTTAAAATTCTGAGCAAGCTATCAATTTTCTTGACACCTCCTCTTCCTTTTATGTATTTGAGTAACAAAAACTATCAATTGTGATTAAACATAGCTCTCCTGGATCTTCCTGTTCAGCCTTCAACTGAAGTTATGGGTTTTGGACACAGCTCTGGAGCTGCAGCCCAGCACCTCCCATTTAGATTCTATGACCAGTCCAGGCGTGGGAGCAGTGACCCGACAGTGCAGCGCTCTGTCTTTGCATCTGTTGACAAAGTCCCAGGTAAGATTAGCATTCATTAACAAGCACGTTTTGCTTTGTGATTTCTGTCTGCAGAAACTGTACTGTAACTTGTACAAGCAATGAAAAGCTTATTGTGATGTGTTCCTGAATACACAACTCCAGGATGGGGAAAAATTTACTCAGAGAAACAAGTAATAACTGGGTGTGTATTCTGGGTATGTTGTGAGCAATACTTCTATGGCAGTTTCCCCAGATGTCTTAATACCTTGCCTTCCTTACAAATCAAGTTAGTTTAAATCATGCTTTGCAGACTCAGTATTTATGCAACACATCTCTCAGTTGTGCATGTTTCCTCCTTTAATTTAGTTATGAATGTTTTTCATGCTGGGTTTTGAAAACAGCTGGGATGCTGTACACTGCTTCATTTCCCCCAGAGTGAGCAAGACAGAAAAGGGCCACAGCTACTCCTAAAACATTAGCATGGAGCTGGGATTAAAGAAATTATTCTAAATCAATGAGCTCTACTTTTTTGTCTCCTTATTGTCTGTTTCACAAATTGACTTCTCTGCAGAAATTCACTTCCAGATGGTGACATTTTTCTTTTGGGTTGAGTCATTTTAAAGGGAAATCTCATACTGCTTTGAAAATACTTAACTGTGCTGTATTATACAGGAGATCTCATTACCACTTGCTGCCAGTCATTCCACAGAACTCAGCATTTCTCTTTAAATGTGATTCAGAATTCAAATGCACAGAATTCAAATTACGTAGAATGCAGGTGTTTTACTGCCCTAAGACTAAATTGGAGCTCACTTGCCTGAGTCCTGACTGGGGAACAGAACTTATAAAACCACAGATATTGTCAGTCAGGTGTTTCAAAGACAATTGTATGTTGTGTGAGGGGAGTGTTTTCCTTATTTGACATGACTTCCACAGAAAAGGTGTGGTTGGAAAGATGCCAGTATTGCTGTTTCAGCTTTCTCTAAGGAGAGTACACTTTGTGTTCCTAATTAATGACTTCATCTACTAATATGAAGGAGGTATTGGGGATGACACAACATAGTAGTTTGTTCAAGCAGCCACACACTTCATTTGAATCCAGGAGATGTGGTCTTCCACTTGCAGATCTAGAGGGAAAAGTATTTTGAAGCTTTTATTTGATACGAAGTATGAGAAATGAGGCACAGAACTTGAAGTATTTCAAGTGCAGCATCTTTTGAATGCATTTTATGACAGGTAGTAATGTAATAAAAATGGATTGATATTCTGTTTTATGTCTGATGAAAAAGCAAGTATCAAATGTGGGTTTGTTCTCTTATCTTTGCTGAGGAATGAATAAGGTTTCCTCATTCCTACTGATTTTTCATAGGAATCTGTGCTTATCCCTTAATTAGGTTTGTAGTGATTTTTACTTTAGGAGGAGAATTTTGTGGCTTTGAAAGGAAGTATTTAACAAGTTGCAGTTAAATTACTGGCTTCATGTATTAATTTCTTACTGCTACAGCTCCAACTGATGTTTGAGTTCTGCAAAGGTCACACAGTCAGTAAATTTGGTTGTACTTTTAAGAAACAAATTATGCTTTCCCTTGGTGATGATGTCCTTTGTAGATTTAAAGGAGAGTTATGTCTTTCTGGCAACATTTTTAGAAGACTAATTACTATTTTTGGTAGGACCATGTTGGCTATCAGTGCTGTATATCCACACCAGTGTGGTTTTTAAGAAATTAATCATATACATGTTTTCATTCCTCCTACAAATTTCAGTCTGTGAAGAACTTTCATAGAGCTGTTAAATCAGTTCCCTGATTCCTATTGTCAATGAATTTAGAATTTTCAAGAAGACTCATTGCAGTTGTCTGGTTCAGTCTCTCTCATAGTGCCTGCATAAAGCTCTGCATATGTCACTAGAGAACCTGCAGTTACTTTCTGTGCTCCCTTATTGTTGTCAAACTGGGCTTCATTTTCCTTCATTGTTCTGCAGTCCAAAGTTAAAATCTTGGTGCCTGGGGGGAAGAGGATGAGGATTGTTATAGCTTAAAACTGGATTTGTGCAAGACTAGTGAAGGGTGATGAGAATGTCACAGGCAATGCTTCAGAACATCCCCCTGAACACAATGAAAAGTGCAGGTTATCCAAGTGCAGGGACATGCTGTAATCATCTCCTGCTGGACTGGACAGTTCTCAGCAGAGAACGTGAACAAAACCCCTCACTCGATCAATTTTATCATTATGAAGTCATGGCTATGAATATACTCCAAGGTCTATTTTAAGTCACTGGCCTTTGCTAAAATGTTAGAGTATTTTTGGGATAGTGTAGTTGGCTGGACCGTTCACCATCTCATGGATTAGCTGTGTATGAATGTATTGTACTTCTGAAGCAATGTGTGTAAATAATTACACTGCTCTCAAAGAAACTGGCAGATTTGGTAGGGGCCCTGTGAGCAAAGGTCTTCTATTGGAAGTAAATAAATAATGATTCCCTCTTCAAGCAAACTCAAGAATTAGTTTTGAGTATCAGCTCTATTCTGAGATTTATATGCCCAATGTGTCTTAAGGGAAATGTTAACGATTTCCAGCAAAAGGTACATCTAAATATTTTAACAAGTGTGGTTGCTTACCTACTAAGTAAACTTATTTTGAAAAGCAAAAGGAATCAATATATTCCTCTTACTATTTTATCAATTGTTAATATCTTAGTAGATGATGATATGGTTTTGATGGAAAAAGGTAGGAAAAAACCTTCTTGTTAACATTAGCATGGCAAGCAAGCTATTAGAGTCTTGTTTTTAAAGTCTGAAGGAAAATAATCATCCATAGCTTTGGAACCCTTTGTGTAATATGAACTCATATTCCTGTCATCATCAGAAGAACCTTCTAACTGTTATTTTGCGTCCTGTAGCTATGATTACTTCTGCTCACCTTTTCTTTACAAGTACTCCCTGAAGAAGTTTCCTGATTAGAATATTTTTTCTTGGTCAGTAGTTTCCCAGTTACAGTATTTTGAATGATTTAGACTTACTTTTCCCTCCTACCTAAATTAGCTTCTGTTAGCACACTTTGCTGTTGTTTTGGAAGAGAAAATACATTGAGGTAATTTTGAAGCAAATGCTCCTATGTAAGGAGTCAATCCATGAGTGCTGTTCTGCAGAAGCTTCGGGCCAGCTTTCCCCATGACAGTCATGGGGAGACCTTGGTCACTGTTTTCTACTGTTCTGGTGAGGGTGGAAGACTTCTTTGAAGTGCAAACTGTTTGTAGCTATAGAATGCTTCAGATGTGTATAGCTTTTACCAGCACTGTAAGGGAAGCTAAATACCTCGATGTAAGCTCTTCTATACCAGTGGCTTTAGGAGCTGTTCTTAATTTCATTCACATTAACAGTTGGCTTTGCCTCACTTCTGTGGCTGCAAGTCCACTGGTTATTCCTTGTTTCTCCATCCTAACTGGTATTTCAAACTCTGAAGTGTGTATGAAAAATGGAATGTACATTTTTTATGATTAAAAACTATAGTACTTGGTGCCAGTGATACATGTGGAATTCTTTCACATTTGAGGTGGTTCAGTTTGTGGTTAACTTTTTGCAGACTGTCAGGCGTCACTGTGTGTAACCTCAGTTTAACTTACCTAAATGATTGTAGAAGATGGATTAGTTTGGTTTCTGAAATAAAATACATGGATTTATTTGCATTTATGGGATTATTAGCTCCTCACCAACTATTTTGTTTTTCACTGAAAGAGACCTCTCCTGCCTTGGTGGTGATTTAGTTCTTTCAAGTGGTGTTCATCTTGAACATAATGAATTATAATTTAACTTGGTAAAAGTGACATTTAGATACCTATCTAAAACTCTGCTGCAGTGCTACAGAAATTCAGATGGCATTGTGTTTCTGCAAGTGGTTTTGAGTCTAGTTAGTGGGTAAGCGTGGGAGGTAGAAGGTTGGAGGTGGGACTGCAGATCAAGTCAGATTATTAACAGGACTGATGTTTATTAGCTTTCTTCTGTGCTTTCTTCACTGTGTTGTTTTCACTTGTAGCACAACCTGTTAGTGTGTTGCTGCTAACAGTATTTTCCTAACTTGTCATATCTATGTTTTAAAGCTTTCAGGGCTTCTTCTAACATGTCAGTTTAAACTGAGTTTTGGGTGGCTGCGTCCTGTATGGCACCAGCATGTTCCCCATATTGGAGATTCTCTGAGTGAATCATCCATCCAGTGCCATGGGGAGATTGCCTGTATATAAAAGGATAAAGAATTGTGTGGTGCATTTTCAATCTTACCTGATTGTCAGATATATTCCCTTTCCATGTTGGCTGTGCAGTGAAGGCATGCAAGTATTGTGTTAGGTATTTTATAGTCCACATTGTGGCTACTTTCAGTAATTCACAGGACTGCCAAAAAAACTGCGTGAGTACTTTCCCATGGGAGAGGGAGGAGAGCTGCAGAAGCAGAAAGGTTGTGTACCTCACCTGACCTACAGCCCATAGTGAAGACACTTCTTTTGTTGTAAGAAGTGCATCAACTTCTGAAAAGCTGCTTGCTATCAAGCCCTGAAGGGGTGACTATAGGTATGTAGTTATAGAAGAAGAAAGGAATGAATGCAAGGTGGTTAGGAAAGAAAAGAATGCTATGCTGTGAAGAATTTGAAGAAGCACTACACAAGAAGCCAGAAGATAACTCATCTAAGAAATGCTGTCAGACACCGTATAGACCTTTCCAGTCTAAAGACTGGAAAAAGTTCAGTTTTTGAGAGGCTGGGTGAAATTCAATGCCAGCATTAGCTGTGATTGATTAAAATTTTCTGAAGTTGCATCTAGTAAAAAATGTAACTCTTCTATCCGAGAGGTTTTTTGTATTTGCTTTTCACTTAATTATTTTCCTTATCTTGTTATGGTCAATGACCTGTGAATATACTGACTGTATCAAAAATTGAAGAGTTTTGATATATTTTGACTGTTTGTGCAATCTCTAAGTTTTAAAATGCTTTGAATTCCTTAAGCTCTACTTCGTTGTTCATTGATCAGCACTTGTAGCCTGTTTGCAGCAAGGCACATTCAGATTTTGTGGTTTCCAAGATAAAGGTGGGAGAGGGCACATCCTCTGGGTCACTACGTGAGGTTGGCACCACTTTGATACAGGATTTGCTGTCACCTTTTCAGTTTGTTCAACAGCTTAACTCTTTCAAGATAATATTTAACTTGTAAACTTCACTGTCCTGTTTTGCAGGCTTTGCTGTAGCCCAGTGCATAAATCAGCACAATCCATCCCCACTCTCGTCACCGTCCCCTTCCAGTGGCAGTGGCAGCACAGGGCGCTGTGACTCAGTGACTGCAAGCTCGACATCCACTCCTTCTGCTGCTCAGAGCCCAGCAGGTATTCACTCACCACCTTCAGCCTAGGCACTGAGGGATACAGAGCAGCTTATTGTAAAATTAAGTTACTATTTTATTGGATTAAAAGAACATAGCTTTATGGTTTTAGATCACTAAATCAACTGAGCCAATTAAAAGTAAATTGTGGTATAAATTGCAGTGATCTGTTCAGCTTTCTGGAACTCTAAATACTTAGTTTCTTTCAGTAGAGACTCTAAGTACTGGTGAAATAATGTCCTGCTTGTCTGACATCTCTCCTAGCACAAACAGTTTAGAATGTTGAGGAGTTTTTTTGTTGGTGGTTTGTTTTAACCTGAAGTATTACTTTGAATAACTCTGTAATGTAAACTGTTAGCCTTTCACCATAGTGGATAAGTTGATTTCCACATAAAGCATCTTTTTCTGAACTGGGTGACATTTGCTTTTGTGAGTTTATCTGATCCTCAAGTTAATTTGTAGCAATGTGCCAAATATGAAATATTTGAAAATAGTTATTTGGGATGTTAATGTTGTAAAATTTATGACAATAACACTCTTGTCGCTGAACACCTCCACATTTCAGGAGGCTTCATTGGTGCAGAAGAGGCTGCAATATAAATAGACTGACAGTGTAACCTTCACAAATGTAGGTTGCATGTGTTTGCATTGGTCAGTATATTTAGTGGGTATGCATAAACTGGAACTTCTTGTTGTATTATTCCTCCTTTTTATGTAGTAATTGTAGAGAATCTTGTAATGGTGTCTGTTCTGAGTGAAAATTGTGTGAGGCAGAGCCTCAGGCTGGAGACTAAACAAGGAAATCCCAGAGAGTGCATCCTGAAATGCTTTCATGCCAGAAGTGACTTACCCTACCTCATTTTGGTTATAAAACAATAGAGGTCACTTGATTGTCAATACTTTTTTAAGCAAGCCTTTGTTTTAATGGCTGCTTCCAATACTGATGACTCCTTGACAGGGTAGTTCTGGCTACCCCTTGTAAGACATGCCATTTTGCCTTTATTTGGAAAGCACATGTATATCTAAAATTTGTTGCAGTTCTACAGGAAATGATGCAACCTTTGCTAAGTATTGAGTGTTTTTAGGTTTCACTGAACAGTGTCAGCAGATTAATGCCCATTATATGTTTAAAGTATCCCTGCAAGAAACTTTGCTGGAAAGGGTAATGAAAGGATACTGATGAAGTTAAGGAACAATAAATATGTAAAGCATTCTAGCATCCAGACTCTAGATTTAAAAGCATCTATTACCTCGAGAGACTAACATACAGTCAAAATAGTCCTGCAATATGTGTAATTTCAGAATAAAATTTGGTATGTTTTTCTATATGCCATCTATTCAAAATTTTATTTTCTCTGTTGGCAAGTGATTGCTGTTACCCAGCCTCTTCATGGCCCAGGTAATATGTAGTCGTTGCACAGAGAAGTGCTGTCATTTGTCAGAACTCTCAGGCTGGATTGGCACTACAAGAAAACATGGATTTGATGACATGTCTCTCCTTAGCAGTGTAAAAAGGCTCATGTACAGTGTCTTTAGCTGTATTTGAATCCTCTATGGTCAGGAAGAGAAATGCAACTGCAGGTTCTTGCCAATAGTAACTAAGATTCAACAGTGGCAAAGGAAATGAAAATAAAGAATCTGTATTATTTCTGTAGGTATAAGCAGTCTGTTAGTTCACACAAATATCAAGCAAGACTATGCTTCATTTCAGACTGAGGTCTTTCAAGCCTACATAATCTGGCTTCAATGAAAAAAATGCATAGATCCAGAACACATAATTACTCATCAAGTATAAAAAGATAATGAATTATTGAAATATAATCACAGACTGTAGTTAACAAAATTGCAGTCTACTTACACAGCATGTTGACATTCGTGTAACATAAAATTCTGTTTGTTTTTCCTGCATTTTAAAAAGCTTGATGATAGGAGGCTGCTCACTGGTTTCCAAAAAAAAAAAGAAAAACAACAATAAACCCCAAATTCTTCCCTACCCTCCTCACCTCCAAATATAAAAATTTTCAACATTTTTATGATGAAAGGAACCAAAACCAGAGGAGAAGTATTTTGAAATGCCTGGTTTCAGTATGCACTTTACCAGTTAAGTTGCATGAACTGCCCACCTTGACCTTCACTGTGACTTAATCATAAAGTGTGTGCAAAATGCCACGTGCTATGCAGGAAAACTCTCTTTGGGTGTGCTTTGATTTTTTTTTTTTTTTTTTTAATGTGCTGCTTTAGCAAGTGTAGCTGTGAGGATCCACTTCTGTGCCTACCACTGGGCACAGTCACCTTCAGGCAAGTCAGAGGAAATGAACCTGCCAACGTGCATCAGCTGCTTCAGTGCCAAATCAGCAGCTTGCACTAACCTGCTGCAGGGAACTCCACTCCTGGATTTTGTTCTGCTCAGAAGGCAGTTACATAGAGGAAGACAGTGACTGTAGGTGCATGAGCAGGTATTTTGTTGCAATAGGATAACACACAGTTGGTAGTGAGGTGCATGCATGTGGCTTAGGGGTTTTGCTGGACCTTATTTGCTCTGACCTTTAGGACCGAGAATCCCTGCCATATATGTGGCTGTTCAAAGGATGAGTGATCAGTTCAGACTAATATTAGTGTTTGAAGTGTATTTGGTGCATAGTTGCAGCATATCATATGGTTTAGTTTATTTGTAAAAGAATCTCCTTAATGCACAGAAACAGTTCCTAAAATCAAACTAAAGCATTAAGTGTGTGTAATTCTTCAAAGCTGCTGCCCTGGTCTGTACCAGACTGCTTAGTGCAGTTGCAGGCAATTGGGAACAAGGAGTGGTTTAAAACCTGTGACTGAGTGTCTGATGGTGTCTCAAGGCCCTTATTATAGTGAGAATCCTGAAATCCCTGGAGCTAGGTCTTTTGGGAGGTGTGAATGTAGGAAGGGTTTTTTCCCAGTCCCTGGAGCTCTGTTGACACTTTTTGCCAATACTCAGTGTCAGTTCAATAGTGTCATTCTCAGGATCAATGCCTCTGCATTAATTGATTGACCAGTTTACTGCAAGCTTGAATATTCTCCCTTTTGTAGTACTTACATGTAATTGTGATCTGCAGAGGAAACTTGCCAGGAATGTGGCATGGAAGTGAGGGTCTGTTTGGCATGTGCAGGTAGCTGTTCTGTGGGTCTGTGCATGAGCAGAACTCTGCTGAAGTAGGTGACAGTGTCATGAGCACAGTGTGGTTTATATCAGGTCACTCAGCTGGGATGTGGAAACAATTGTTGGTATTCACCCACTTCTGTGTAAAGCAGTGGTTTTCCCTTAGCTTAACCACTTGAGGACAGTTGAAACTAAACTGCCTTACTCTGCTGTGAGGCAGAAGAGGAGACTTGCATGATGTGAAGTGGCTCCCTTGAGGAGGAAGTCACTGGTTGTTGATGAGCAGCAAGCAATTACCAAAATCTGTTTTATGTCCCAAGGTAGCACCTGAATGCTGCTGCAGTCTGTCACATTTGACTCCGTCTCATTTCCCATTCCATTTTGAGCACACACACAAACTCTCCCCCTCCTTTCCTGCTCCTCTGTTGATTCTGGCACCTGCTCGAGTTGTTGAGCATGAAAACCATCCTGGGTTGCTCAGGAACTTCAGATGAGAAGACCAGACTAGATAAAGGGGAGATGCCTATCTAGATTTCAAGGAAACTACCTCAACTACCTTCCTTAAGAGCAACATCTTAGGCCACACAGCTTTTTATACTGTCAGCTTGTGATTATAGTGGCCTAAGCTACAGTCTGTTGACAGATTGAAACTGTTCAGAGTTTGATATATTTGAGATGATACTTGTAAATCTTCACAGAGTTGTTTCAGGAAATAAGATTTGGAACATAGACACCAATTTTTACATAAAACAGTAGTAGATAAGAAGAAAATAAAGAGAAATTGCATGTTAAGAGAAAATGATACTACATAGAGGGTATCTTGATGATTAAGCAGCAAAAGAGCTTTCAAAAACGTCACATGAAAAAGTTATGTTAATTCAGTGTTTTGTAGAAATAATTTACTTGTTAGCACTCAAACCTGCATCAGTCACACAGTGTTGCATCAACTGCTTTGTCACAAGTGAAATAAATTCCTATGATTCCTGAGTTTATTAGCTGTCCTATGTAGTAGTTGTCACATTGCTTTACAGAAGAGATATTTTAAAGGCTGGCAACTCCACCATTTACATGTTTGGGGACTAAGTTTAGCACCTTACAAGATTACTGTTTTTTAAAATTGAAAAAGCAGAAATCATCCCTTAAAGAAAGAGAATGCTTAGCAAGACACAAAAATCAGCATCGGGTTCTGCAAGTGCTGCTATCAGGTTGGCTTTTTTTTATATTTACATTATTTTTTTTAATTACCATGTGCTTTTGAAATGTTGCTATGCATAAGGTAAAAATATTCTCTTGTTAGGCAGATTTTAGTCACCAAGTTTCAGAGCTTAGAATACAGTCATGTCTTGGCTACCCTTGCTGGAACTGTCCACTTTTTCAAAGTGCTTATTTTCATATATGCCAAGGATTAGATATAGAAGGTCTCTTACTGTAAGTTAGCAGTCTTCCAGAATTATGAATGTGTTAATGTCATCTGTGCTGTATTTTATTGCTTTTTAAGCTGTCTTAACTCTTAAAAAGCAATTGGCTTCAGTACTTAAGAAAATGTTTACATCGGAGCAATAGATAATGAGAACTTCACAAGGCACTGATCTGTGCCATTTAAGCTGTATTTCATGCTTCTGGCAAGTATTGATGATAAAAGATCTAAAATAAGTACTAAGAGCTGTCCCTTGTTGCAAAGAACATATTGGATTCTAGTCTGTAAAATTAAATTTCCATTCCAAGGAGAGGGTGATTAATCAAGCATGGAGAGCTTATAAGAGCAGTGCCTGCCTTCCTATTGAAACCATCTCTGTCTCTTCCCTCTATAATCAGTAATGTAAATGTGGTTTGACCTCCTGCTCTATGATGCTCTAGTAATTTTCTGACTAGGTGAGGAAGTACTTTTGTTCTTAGAAAGTTTCTTTTCTAGGAACTTTCCATGCACCAAGCATCATCATCTGAACTGCTGTTATCTTTTCAAACCCTGTGTTTGGCTTTATCATAAACTAAATGTAAATGCTACTGTTGGGTATGAGAATAGCAGGGCTGAACAGTCTGAAGTGTTGTCACCTGCACAGTACTGCACCTTATATAATTCATGGCCAGGGGAAAGGAGAACAATTCTGTGTCACAAGAATTTGTGGTAAATAACTTCTCTCAAAGTTTCTAAAGCAGGTGAGTGGATTGTAATGCAAATAAATACCTGCCAGCCCTCCTTGGTGTAAATGCTGTTGGTATTGCCAGATATAGCCCAAACTTACGAACTTTTTCAGATAGGAAGCAAAAAATTAAATTCATATAAGTTCATTTATTTCTAAAGAATGAATACTTCCAGCTTCAGAAGAATTTCCCAAATGTAGAAGGCTCTTGGTGTGGCATCAAATTGTATTCAAGATACCAGCAGTTACGGGTGTGTCCTTGTCACTTACTCTTGTTGCTGCTCTAACATTTATCCTTTGTCTCCATTCCAGTTTCCCTTCCCTGTGTCATTGTTGAAGCCTCTCTATGATTTCTGGCTGTGTTTCCCTCTAGTAAGGTCTGGCAGGAAAGGACGCCGGCGGGTGTTTAGTCTGTCGGAGGCTGACAGTCACGGTGGACACTGGGTTTAGGCCTTCCAGCAGCAGCTGCAGCAGAAACTCCCGCAATACCCACTCAGGCAGGTTCCTCCATAAGACTTCACAAGCCCATAACAATCAATAGAACATACTTGCTTTCCATGCTGACAGCAATGGCAGTGAGGTAGGATGAAGAAAGCATGATAATGTGTCTCTACGTTTTGTTTTGGGAGAACTGTAAAGCAATAATGAGCTGTTTCTGAAAGCCCTGTCTGCAGTTCTCCCATATCTCTTGCCAAAGGTGGAAACTGTGCTATCAAGCCTCCAGCTTCAAAGCAGCCATGTCTTCATCTGCACAGGGCAGCCCTGGCTGTAGTGAAATTTAGTAAGTGCAGGCTCCTGAATGGACAGTAATGCAGGTCCTTGGCCAGCAGCAAGAAATCTGTTTATAGCACAGGTCAAATGGACAGGCATTCAGTGTAAGACTGTCCCTGGACTCTGACAGAAGCTTAATATTTCTGTGATCATCAAATTCTGGCAAGTGACTTTATGGACTATTTAATTGTCCTCACCTGAGGACGTGAGGAGGGGGAGCAGATGCAAAAAAATATGGACGTATGCTCCAGATTACGTTTGTTGTATGATCTATTTTAACTTATATCTAATTAACTTCTTTTGTTACTATCTTGGCATAAAGGTACTTTACTCAGCTAATAGTATATAATCACCCTTTTTCATCTTTTGGATTTAATTTACAACTTTTTGCTTAATGTCTTGTAATTTGTATTTTAGTTATCCTTTCATAGTATGTTGCTGTACAGCTTAGGACACTTCTCTGTGGGTGATATTCATGCTTTACTTTTTCTGTCCTTTTCCATCTTCTTTCACAATAACTCTTCTTAACATAAGTTAATATAACAAATTGAGTGTTTTAGTTGGGATTTTTTGCTGCAATGATAATCTTCATAGCATTAAAGAAGTGCTGAAAAACATGTAAGGCTGGTGAAGGCTCTGCATCCAAAGAGAGTTAGTAATACCCAAAACTTGCAAAATTACACCTTGTTTTCAGTAAGTAAAATAGATTTGGAGGTATGGAAGGCTGTTTGTTAGAACTCAGTGTTAAGATCAGAACCATTTTAAGAAACTGACTTCAGTCTCCCTTGTTTTGTTGCAGATCTGGCTTATGTTTTGTGCCAGAACACTCTTGATTAAATACATGGAGGCTAGGGAGAGATAAATAGAAATGCTGTTTTCTAGTATTAGGTGGTAACCTTTTGATATTGAAGAGCAGACCATATCTCAGTGACTGGTGGTTTTATCCAGGGAAAAAATAAAATTTTTTCTTTCTATCCAAAAGTCAAACTGCAACTATGTGTTGGGAGTTGGGGTTTTTTGAAAGCCAGTTAGTATTTTTATATATAGTATAAAGGGAAGTTCCAGATAATAAGTAGACAAATTAATCTGTAAACATGCTGGGTACATGCAATTCTTTAGAAGCAAGAGCTTGGAATGTATCTTGGTCCCTGCTTAAAGACAGACATTCTTGTGAGCTCTAGACAATGTTCAGAACTCTCCCTCCTCCACCCCTTTGAGTGTTGGGATTTGCTTTCTGGTCATTTTGACAGTAGTGGCAGCCTGGGTTACAGCAATTGGCCACCATTCCCTGAAATCCAGTGCCAGAGTGACAGGAGTGAGGCTGGCAGTGACTGGGGGCATCCTGAGAGGAGAGAGACTGGCTTCTAGCAAGAGTAAAGAAAAGCTGCAGGGGAAGCACAGGAGAGCTCTGATCTTGTGTTCTCTACAAATGCTGCCACAGAAATACTGGCCAGTATATTCTGCTTACAGTTTCTGGTATTTTTTCTCTCTTAATGTTTTTTTGACGTGTAAAAAGTTTAGACTTGTTAACTCCAGATACTTTTTTTTTTTTTTTAATGGAGACTTTTTTCAAATACTTTTTTTGTGGCATTAAGAAAGGAGTCACTTTAGCATTAACTCAGAACCTACCTGGAAGGATTTGGGGACAATCCAACATAACAAAAGAATATATATGTCTTTCATTATTTCAGTAAATACAAGTATTAAGAAAATACATTGATATTCTATTGAGAGAGGGGAAGGAATTATTTAAGAAATGAAGTGTGGATTCAGAAGTCACATAAAACTGTAATAGAAATGTGCTGTATAGAACATTCTGAACAGAATGCCATTGACTGATAACAATTTACTTACCAGAATGCCTCAGGTTTCTGAATCCTGAATTTGGGTGACTATTCATGCTATAGTGTAAGTAAGATTTAAAAATTACCTTGGCAAAAAGCATTTGATATCCTTTAAGATTTTATAGATTCAAAAAGCAGAAACTCACTGTTCTCTGCATACTGAAATGTTAGTGTTTAGCTTGGAATTCAGGGAAATGAGCCTGCATTTCATTGTTTTAGCAGTTCATTTTCTACTTGATTCTTGCATCACTTCCTGTATTACCAGTTGCTACATTCTCACTAAAGCTGCTTGACAGATAAAAAGAATCTGTAGGGTTACTTTGGATCTGTCCTGTTCAAAAATAACTACTTATGTCTCTTTTATTTAAAAGTAGACTTTTTTTACAATCTGTAAATCTTGTTTTTATCAAAGCAAGAAGCTTTAGCCACCAATTCAGCAAAAAGAACATGTGAGTGGTTTCTGAAGTGAAAATGCACCATTGTTTGGGTTATCTTACCAGAAAGGTAAAAAAAAAAAAAAAAAAATTATCATTTTAGTGTTATCCACTGATACCCTACTGATACCCATTCCATTCTCTACTTTGTTTTTCCTTTTTTTCTTCTTTTTTTTTTTCCTTTGTTTTATGTTCATGCTGTCTGTTCTTTTCCAGGACTAATTGGAATCATACTGAAACTGAAATATTTTTAAGGTCACTATGTATTATTAAAACCATAACTCAATTCTTAGCTTCTGTATTCACTACATTGCCTTGTAGGCTTTTCTGCAGATGCCTGTACACTTGAACACATGCTGTTTCTTACAAAAGCTTTGAAACTGGTCAGTCTTGAAGCTGGATACCTGTTACTTTAATGGCATCTATTATTGTAGTCCAAAAAAAAAAAAACCCTGACTTTTCTGGGCATACTGGATCATCTAAGGCTGTATCACCTCATCCCCTCCACCCTCTCCATCCTGAGCCAAATGAACAGCTTACTGAATGACAGTTCACTAGGATTTTTTGGGGGAAAGGACAGTATGAATAGCTATTAATGTTGAAGGGTTTTTTCATAACATGGGAAGGTGCAGTAGCATATCAGTTTTCTGTAGCATTTATGCTTATTCTCAATTTCATGAGTGTTGGATGCTCCATGCGTAGGAGGACAAAACCCCCATGTCTCACAGGCTGTGTAACACAGGCCTCTTGCAGCACCTTTCAGTTGCAGTAAGGACATTATCCTCCTTCCTCTTCTGCCAAAATTCTGCTTTCCGTGGTTGAGGTGTCGCTTAAATGTGAATCTGGAGGATGAATTGAGAGAATGACTTCCAAATTTTTGTAAGAAACAGGCCACCTTTTGGGAAAGCTGGCTGTAGAGTGATACTTACGTTTTTTCTTTTATTTCTAAAGATCTTTGTGATATGGGGTAGCAGTTCATCTTAGTTCACTAAATACTGGAGAAGTTTTCTTTCCCTCAACTTCCTCTCTCTAAGAATATTTCTAATATTGCTACATATTCTAATACTAAATGTATGTAATTGTCTGTTTCCTAATTTGAGCAGAATCCTGATGGCATTTTAGGTTATGCTTTTATAGTATTTTGGTTTATTTCTAATTACTAAAATGTGGATGTGTAAACAGAGTGCTTCACAGAACTGCATTTTCCACGCAGTTATTCTTGAACACTCATGAATAATGGTATATTGTTAGGCTCAGTGTGCATACTGACTTGAATACTGATTGCTCTTTGTGTTTTCTTTTCTCAGATGATGCTTCAGCTCCAGAGCAGCCTCTGATGTCCAGTCAGACAATGTTGACTGATGAAACTCTTTCAGCTGTTTCAAAGTCCGGCAAAAATGCTGTAAAAAGCAGCGACATAGAAACAGCCAACCTGTCTCCCAGCCTGATTCCTGCACAGCAGCCCACGATATCCTTAATCACAGATGACAACACGGACACTCTGAGCGTGGAGTCGCTCACGCTGGTGCCACCAGTCGATCCCCACAGCATTCGAACATTCAGCTGCATCCGTCACGCCTCTTTGCAGCCTGAAAGTGAAGCTGACAAGGTGAAAGAGGTCGAGGGAGAATGTTCTGACTAAAGCCACCGTGCAGACTGTAATAAACAGTGAAAGAAGTGCAACCAAATGGTGAATTGTTTTTTCTCTGGGAGTGCAGATACTTCTGGAGGCCTGAGAGGCCTCAGGTCCACACAGAGGGACCAACTGGAGACAGAGAATTTCAGCTTTTAGAGCCAACATCGGATACTCAGCATATCTGAACTGGAGAAGAGAAAAAAACCCCGAACTTTTGAATCTGGACTGGTTCTTTCCTACCAGTTTCTGTTATACAAGACCATGAACTTATTTCAGAGGACCTACTGTCTTTCTAATAGGAACTAATTAATTGTAAAAGGTCTACAGTATTATGGCAAAGTGAAGAGACTTTTGGATACCCAGCTTCATGGTACTGCATTGTTGTGGCTCTGAAATGGGAGACATGCCATTGACCAGAAAAAGTTATATATTATAGGACAGAGGTAAAACTTCCATTTGAGTCAGAGTGTGGTTTTTTTCAGCTTGGTGTTTGGTTTGGGTTTTTTTTTGTGGAGGAGGGGTTTTGGGGTTCTCTTTGGTTTTTTGGTTGGTTGGTTTTGTTTTTTAATCCTGATCTTGTTCATCTTTTGGAGGTCTGCACAATGGCCACATTCAGTATTGTCTTTGTAGGACTCCAGACTTAAATATTATGTTTTCCATACGTAATATTTATTTCAAGGTTTGATTCAAAGTTAAAATACAATGATTAATCAAATTAACATAAGGGATTTTTGAGGCTACTTTAGTCTTTGCTTAGCCACCTAGAGAGGAATGTAAAATATTTTAAAATATTTCTGTAGCTCATTTGTTCACTTCTGACAGTCAAATTGCTACCCATCTGAAGAATGGTGATATCCCTGCAACTGAAAGACAACTTCAAGAAGCAGACAGAAGCAGTTTTACTCGAAAGAGATTTCTCACATTTTTCATAGTTGTATAGGAAGAAGGCCACCATATCTAACTGATAATCCTTTGCAGGTCTGATCTCAAAAGGTATTGTGTAATTGTTTTTCCTGTTTGGGATAGTAACTTACTTAAACCACATTGCTACATAAAAGTGATTCTGAGTTAGCATTACTTCCTAGATCCTGACACCAAGTTGAAAGAAAAGGGAAAGATGTTGATTAAAGTTTAACATGAAACGAATTTAAGACTTTTTATCAATTTCCAAGTAAGTTAATTTAAATTGATAGTAAAATGAGTAGATTGTCATTGCTGGTCTGTTCACTGAATTGGCAATTCCTCAAAGGAGAGCTGCTGTTTACTTGGTATTGATTTATCTGTTTCCTCATTCTGTCTCTACTGACATTGACTTCTTACCAAATAGGTGAATCTGCAAAGTTTTTACCCACTTCCCAGTTGCTTATTGTACCTCTTCCTGGCTGTCACAAGGAATATTTGAAGTGATTTTTCAGGTTTTTTATATATATATATCTGAGATTGACTAATTCACAGGTACCACTTTTCTCAGTTTTTGTCTTTTCCTTCACATAATAATTGAATCTTTGCCAAGTGGGTACATGAGGTGTCTGCTACTGAATGCCAGTAATTCTTTTTTCCCGTTATTAACTTTTTCATGCAGTTTTGATTTCTAATTTTCTGTGACTTCTACTTTCTCTCAGATTGAATTAACTGGTACTCTGACCATTCCAGAGTGGCCCAAACTCTGAATGAGCTCAGGGTTAGGTATCCTCAGCACTGCAGTGGATTTTGTGTGAAAATCTGGCATAACTAGGATAAGAGCCTTTAGTCTTGTGCTTAAGATGAATTTGCACTCATGCAGTCACTGTTGCAGCTAATGTGCACGTACCTGAGCAAGCCTAGACATCAGTAACACTCTGGGCACAAGGACCACATGAATTTTTATTAGCTGAACTGATTGCAGTCTAGACCTTCTCTAAAATGTTGCAGCATTACGCTGTAGTCTTAGAAATATTCTGAAGATCATTATAAAAAATGCTTCACTTAATTTGAAAGCATTTTATGTTAGTTATTAACCTTAAATTCTTGACCTAGATTGCACAAAATACCACTGTGCAGGCTGAGTTCCCTTAAATAGAATTCATTCTAGACTGGAAAACCTTGATCTTTATTTATCTAATTTCAAATTCAGTTCTAGCAAGATTAGACCCACGCACAAAGAGTCCCTTCAATGCATCCCTGAGCTGTACTGCACAGGAAATGGAGCAAAGGGAAAGAAAGGTGACTTTGTGCTTTTCATTACTTTTGAGTGGCTTTTAAATCTCATGATCACTTGTCTAGTGAAAGCTTCACAGGAAATGACTGAGATAGATACTGTTATTAGGGAAATAGAAGAATAAGTCTGCTATTAATTAGCTTGAGCCCCCTCTGGGTGAAAAACCTCATTCTGAGATCAAGGCTGAATCTGCCCCAGCTCAGCTCCAGCCATTTCCTAATTAAGCAGTAAGATGTGAGTGACTCTTTAATTTCCACACTTACTGCAAGTGTCTTGGGGTGATTACTTCAAGCAATCCAGGAATTCAGTAATTGCCCTGGAATTGCATATCACTTCACTAGCAGTAGAATAAACTTTATGCTTGAACACACAGGTAAGCTATCAGACAAGCAGGTGAAACTGTGTGTAAGAATGAAGCCACTTCCTAAGAGTAAACACTTCACTGCAGGAGAATAGCCTCGGGAGCAGGGCCACTGACCACCAGTGAGGAGTAGTCAGAAAACCACCTAAACCAGCTAAACATTCTGTTCTTGTCTCCACTAACCAGCTGAAATGAAACTTGTTTTTAAAAGAGCATTGCCCAGGCAGGCAGCTGCTGTCTGTGAAAAACAAAAGTTTTAGTCCTGTAGTTGAATCAGAGATCTGCAGAGACATCAGCTGGGGACAGGGAGATCGAGGCCTTTTGCCTCCACGGTAATTAGCCTCCTTCTTTCAGACAGCCTGATGTAGCCTTCGAAATATATGCTGAAAATTCTCTTAACTGCTACTGTCTTTCTTGAAGGAGTTTTTTGGTGTCCCTGTTTTACCACCACTGCCCCACCCTAGGATATTACCCAGGCTGGGCACTGCTCTTCTATTGTCTAGCAATCTTTGGAGAAGTTCTGCTCTGCTTGCCTGCTGTGTTTCTCCTGACCTTTCCCAACATTTGCAGCATGAATTAGAAACAAATGGAATAACTCTTCCCATCTCCTGTTGGATTCTGAAAAGCAGAGGGTGATCCAAGCAGGGCTTGCTAGGGTGGGATGTTTTTAGGGGTGGGGAGGGGAGTAGTGCTTGGGGGTTTTTCTGCTGCTCAGGACTTGAGCAGCAACAAAGACACAGGAGATGCAGTTCTTGACTGAGTCTCAAACAGAGGGTTCTTTCATATGGAAACATATTTTTATATTATATTTGTACAGAATTTTCCCTATTTTGATCTCCTAACATTTTTAGATTTGCACGTTGCTCAGATTTGATTTCTTTTGCAAGGTGTTAAAAAATATATATTTTGTGTTTGTTAATGTATTATAAATGTAAAGCTAAATTTTGGTTGTCTAATAAATGTGCACTGTGGTGGTATGTGGTTTATTGTTTTGCTAATTTAAATTCATTGGTTCTCAATACTTGTCATTGTTGGGACTGTCTTCTTAGCATAAATAAATATGTGGAGTGCATTTATTTTAAAAGTAACTAAAAGTGGCTTAAGCAGATAATGACTAGGAGTACTTGATAACAAAAGTTAAGGTCCAGAGTAGTTCACAGGATTCATTTAAAATCATAATCTGAAGATTCATGAGATTTTTTTAAATCGTGTTTCTCATTCCTTTTAGTTATGGATACTCATACTAAAGTGAGTTTAAGACCCATAGTAACTGCAGTCTGATCACTTCAGTATGTATGAGATCTGATGGGTAGAGTTCGGGTGTGTTTTAGGGACTAACTGTGGCAAAAGTATTTACAATGAACATGAAGATAATTATTTTAAGATTGGTAATAGATTCAAGTGTACAAATTTATAGACTATTACAATGTCTAGGAGCTTTGTTTTGCCCAGGGACAGCACTAAATGTACATTGTCAGAACTTCAAGAAGCCCCCTAGAAGCATTGCAAAATTTAGAAGATAACTTGAGGTATCTCCACTTGTGAATAGCTGTGTTGGTATTTTTGTTGCAAACTTTTTCCTTCATTTTTAGCTGTTTTGTAAGTTTGATTGTTTTCAATGCAAAGAGGGAGAAATGTATTTTTCTAGAAGAATGAATGTACCTGGGATTTAAGCACTACAAAAAGCATTTAATGAACATGGACTGTCCTCCTATGAAATATATTTCAGTAAAGTTGTCTGAAATATAGGTCATTTGAGAAAAAAAAAAGTCCTGACCATGCACTAACATCTACATAGAAAAAAGCCCAAACATGTTGTGAATCGAATCTGAAATGTCTTTCTAAAGGCAATAAGTATTAATTATTTAATGTAAGTTATGTTAGACATTTGAAGTAAATGTAATATCTTATGTTAATTTAAAGAACAATGTAACTAAGTGTCTGGGAAGGGAGTGGAATTAGAAAATGTGTGTATGTTTCTGAAATCCAGACTTCTGAGTCTGTATTTGCAGGCACTGATAATTTGTCGTGTCTATTGAAAACCTGGACAAGAACAAGGAATAGACCTTTCTTTGTAAATGGAACTTGGCAATAAAAATGGTGTTACTAAGAAAACTTCCTTCCCTTTCATGTGCTGTTGCTGCATTTGATGCACAAGGACATCCAAAAGCAGTGAAAGGCAAAATTTACAGAACCTTGCTTTTATTTAGAAGAATGTTGTGCATATGTGACTGTTGGGCATTTTCATCTTTAAGCCAGGGTAATTTGCACTGCATATGCAGGAAAGACATAGCAGGAGAGAGAGCAGAAACAAGCCTGGAAGGGCAATGGAAAGTAGATGAGACCAAGGGTTAAGAGGGGCTGGGCAACATCTAAAATATCTGTGAACTACTTTGAAAGTGCTTTTCATGTGTGACTTCTTCCCCAAATATATTCTTTCACCCTCTGCCTCTTTCTCTGGTGCATGTTGCCAGTTCAGTATATGGATTAAATCCAACCAAGTTATTACTTAGATTCTTGTTAATTAGCCTCTACTTCTATAGGAATTCATCACAGTCAATATACATTCCTTGGGAAATGTTATTTCTCAAAATAGTCATTGCTCCAGAAGCTTTCTTAGGAAGAAATTCAATTACACTGTACCATCAAATAAGCAAGGTAGGTATCAGAGAAAGGAGACAATACTGTGATTTACTCTGATGCAAATATTAAATTATGGTGTACTGTGGAAAACGAGCTTAAATCTGCCTCCTGGAAGCCAAAGTTTCTGAATTTTGCTGCAATGCTGCTTGTTTGTGGCCAGGAAGGTCCCTTCCTTCACCTTTGAAACTGTTCTGTGCTTCTGTATCCTGATGCTTCAGAACTCTTGCAGCCTTTTTATTCTTGTCATTTTTCCTGTGTCTCTGTACTAAACCTTTCTAGACTTTGACATGGAGTCAGATT